TTAAACAGGGTACCCTGTAGTGATGGTATCGATAATGTAAGAACAACATCGATGCTGCTCTTTATTCGGGCAAAAACTTAGACAATTTTAAAAGGGTAACATCAATACTCATTCATATAGTATCAATACCAGAGTAGGAGTTTCGATACTCCCTATAGGGTATCGATAATGGGGTATTTTTCAAAAGATCGAACCTAAATTTGGTATCGATACTCAGTTAAGTATAAATACCCCAACACCAAAGTATCGATACTTAGCCTATGTATCAATACTACCTTAACCAAATAGCCCATATCAGTCAGGGGGTATCGATATCAACAGGTGGGTATCTATACCAAAGGTTTAGTATCGATACTAAAGGGTCAATATTAGTACCTACGAACATATTTGGATAAATAATCCAAGGATTAAGGGATCATATTCGAGGTATCCATATACTTAGAATAACAACAAATAAGACTTCAAGCGAGAACAATAATTAAAATCTGAACAATAGAAATAGTAACAACTAGGATTGCATAAAACTAGCCTTGTTTGACACTCGAGAAACAATTAGGACACCCGAGTTCCTCTGTAGCAGAGTACGCCATTCAGTGGATATCCAAGTCAGTGTTGAGGCACTTCAGTAGTCGACTAGGCGCATATGCCCCAAGACTCGATGGAGTAAGTTGACGGGTGTACGTTTCTGATGCAGCTCCTGATCTCACCCAAGATACCGAGGGTATCTTAGAAATGCTAAAGGGGTATGTGAGCTCCAATATGCATAACCCTCAGTCGCACCATGATACCTACTCAATAGTTAAAACCAGTAGCTTTGCATTTTCAGATATGTGCCACTAGCTAACTCATTTAGTGAATACATGTAGTATAGTACAATTATTAGTGAGGCACTGAGCTCATAACCTCAACGTTCGGAATGTGTTTCCGTGCGTCGATTCTTAGGTGGCTAATCATGGGGAGTTATCATCACAGACATTCCAGTGCAGCATTTCAGGCCATCAGAGACTTTTAGAGTACGTTCTGAGTTATTCTTAAAGGGCATGTACTATTTATGAACCATTATATGTATTCATTCGTAACTTGATTTGTACTCGGTGTTTGTATTATTCGGATATATTTTGGGAGCTCCCCATATTTTGTAAACCCGTATTATTATCATGTTATATTTTAACTGCTATGGATGAATTATTATCAGTTGATTTACAAGCGGTTTTAAAGAAAAAAATTTGGGTCACTATTTTTGTAGTCCCGTATAACGTTATAATCCATAGATCTTCTAGTCGGATTGGATCAGGGTGTTACATGTGTCCCAAGTTATATTTAAATTTGTACTTAACTATACTTCGGGAAGTTCTACCGTGCGACGGCCTTAATATACATATAATGAAATGCGCTATCAGTTTTGTTATTATTTTTTTAACAAAACCGATAAAAAAATTATCTAAAACATTATTATTTCTACCTAAAACATTAATGTTTTTTAACATTTATGGTAAAGTGCCCAATAATAACAAAACCAGAAGAAAAAATAACAAAACCGGTAGCGCTTTACTGGATATGTTAACAAAATCGGTAAACGCCCAATAATAACAAAACCGGTAGAAATAATAATGTTTCCGATAATTTTTTACTGGTTTTATTAAAATAATAATAACAAAACCGATAGCACATTTCCTTAGCCGTATATTAAAGCTGCCGCACGTGAGACTTTCCACTATACTTCTCCTATTAGATGTTGATTAAGAATAAGAAACATAATTTGAATATATTTATTTCTACATAAATTTTTTTAATTAAATAATTATCCATATATATATATATATATATATATATATATATATATATATATATATATAAAGAAAAAATGTCCTTGTATCTTAGTGGTTTTATCATCGAGTATAATAGGCCTATTATATGGTGCGGAAATTTTGACTATTATAATTTGTCATATATGAGATTTTAAAAAATTCTATAGCGGACGCTGAGAAATTAATTAAAAATATTCTGATAAGTTTAATGAATTTAAATTTTAAAAAAAATCAATTGAGAAGATAATTCCACCTAGACAAAATTCATAATGATCACAAAAATAATATTTTTTTTTAGAAATTTGCACCAACTTTAACTTTTCCACAATATCAAACATTGTGTATATCATGTGTCAAATCATTTTTTTTAGATTTAGTTAATTAAAGAAAAATACATGAGATTTAAGAGAATTAAAATAGAAGTTATTTTGTCAGTGATACATAATTTAAAAAAAAATATTTGGCACACAAATATCAAATATTTTAAGATTGTATCCTTCTCTCAACTCTGAAGCACATAATGAAATATTGGCTAACACTCCTTACTGCACACACACCGAGGAGGAAAAAAGCCTTGACATTCTCCATTGTCAAAATACTCCCCTGCGCAGATAACAGAACATCTATTGCTACTTAGGCACAAGATCTTTCCGGTCCACTCCTCATACTTTTCGCTTCGAGACTCACATTTTCTGCCCTCCACCACCATAGGCCCCATCTCAGCTTCATTTTACCAAAGAGTAACACATGCAAGATAATTAGAGAAAATTGAAGTGTGTATATATATATATATTTGACTATGATTGCTTATATCTTTGCATACACGATGATCGAATCAAGTACCTCAAGAGATAACAACAATTCTTTAACTATCGAGATCACATGGTTCGTCCAGAAAATTGAAGTATATAAACACACACATATACAAGATTATAAAAATGGGAGAAAGAATGGATATAAAAAATGCCTGAGAGATATGCTATTTTGAAATGTGAATATCAAATATGGTTCATGAGAAAAGAACCTGATGCTAGAAGCAACATAAGAAGGAAAGCAGCTGAGACTGATCGTAAGAATCGTTCCATATTTTGCATAACATTTAGGGCAAGTGACCAATCGAGCTAATGCACACGTACGTGCAAGAGAGAAAGAGAGAGATATATGAAAACGAAGCATTGAGAGACCTTTATATAACGAGTTACCTACTAGGGAAGGACGAAGACAAGTAAGTTTTTGTTATTAATGCTTAAAATGTAACATATTTTTCATATTAGTATTTTTGTCTTAAATAATTTTAAATTATATTTTGTAACGATATTTTTATCCTCATTATCCAACTTATAAATAACGGATATTTTTATTCATTAATACAGATTATTCCAAATGAAAATATTTGCTTGGAAAAATAGGGGTTATACTTATCTTCATTGATTAATAAAGCATTTTTATGTTATAAAGATCAATTGATTTATTTATTTTTAGCTATAACTGTTTTTATGATGACAATAAAGGATTTTGATTTTTTGAATTTTTAAAAAATTCATTGTGTATGCTATTAAAATATAGCATTTGAAGTGGTTTATGGCTATTTAAATCACTTGTAGTTACGACTTTAAAATCTTTCGGTTGAAATATTTAAAATATGCTTTAAACTACATATTATAAATGGTTGGAGTGTTGTAATTAAAAGCATTGAAAACAATTTTAAAGTTATGACATTAATAATTATTATTAATGATAAATACATGTATTTGAGTTGTAGAAGTGCATGGTTAATGCTAATTGGTATGAAAGTAAAAGAATAATGTATTTGAGTTGTAGAAGTGCATGGTTAAAACTAATTTGTATGAAAGTAAAAGAATAATGTATTGGAGTTGTAGAAGTGCATGGTTAAAACTAATTAGTATGAAAGTAAAAGAATAATGGGTTAAATACATGATTGATCACTTATGTTTATGTTTTGTCCACTTTTTCTCATTGATTTAAAAAGCATACGATATGATCACTTTCGTTTTTATTTAATTAAGATGCGGTCATCACAGGTTAACTTTCGTTAACAGTTAACATATTAGGTGAAGTGATAGTTAAATATTTTGGTATAATCACACATTTGATCCCTGTTATTTATATAAGCTCTTAGTTTAGTCCTATTTTTAATATATTAAAATAAATGTAATCATCCAATTCAATAATGCCACGTGTCACCATTCGGTTGGAAAATAAACTTTATTTTAATTTAATATATTTGTTTTCCGCTAATCAGAGAGTGACGTTTGTCACCCTCTTATTGAAAGAAAACAAAACAAAGCAAATTGGGGAAGTATTAAACATGTCACACACGACATCATTCGATTTGATGATTAAATTTATTTTAATTTATTAAAAATATGACTAAATTGAGAGACTATGTAAATAATAGAGACCTAATGTGTTATTATACAAAAATATTTAACTATCACATCTCCTAATCTGTTAATTGTTAACGACAGTTAACTCATATTGATCACATCTTAATTAATTAAAATTGAAAGTGATCATATATTATATTTTTTTGAAAACAATGAGAAAAATTAGATAACAAAAACATAAGTGATTAATCATGTAATTAACCCAAAAATAATTTTAAAAGGTTCCACAGTTTCGTTTTTATTTTCTTTAAATTAATATTAAATCCATATTTTCATATGATATCAAAAGTTCATCATTGAGTATAATTGGCCTCAGCAAAAATTTTGATGATTAAAATTTATTTTATGAGATTATAAAAGAAATTGTAGCCCATGCTTAAATGAGAAATTAATTGAATATATTATATATGATAATTTTAGGTTTATTTTACTTTTTTGATTCGATTTGGAGTTCACACTTCAAACATCAATGAATTTAAGGAAATATAAAAAAATCATTCAATTCTATTGATTGGCTTTAATGATTAAAGAAAGTGTTATTCTTCTTTGAGATCTTAGGTTCGAACAGTTGAGTGTATATATATTGTCAATAGCTAAGAAAAATTATAAACATATAATACTTTGTAATCATCCAAACTATTAAAAAATTGGACATCAATTATATATCATATACCAAATCATTTTTATTTTATTTTAGATTTATAATTAACTCGGGAAGAATACATTGGATTTAGGAGAATTAAAATAGAAGTTATCACATCAGAGATGCATAATTAAAAACATTTGGCACACAAATATTTTAAGAAGGTATCTTTCTCTCAACTCTCAAGCACATACATAATGAAATATGGGCTAACATTTCTTACTGCACACACACCGAGAGATAAAGCCTTTACATTTTCCATCTTCAAAATCCTCCGCCGCCACGCAGACAACGGAACATTCCCTGCTACTTAGGCACAACCCCAGGAACTTTCCAGTCAACTCCTGATACTTTTCGCTATGAGACTCACATATTCTGCCCTCCACCACCATAGGTCCCATCTCAGCTTCATTTTACAAAAAAATGCAAGATGATTAGAGAAAATTGAAGTGTGTATATATATATATATATATATGACAATGAACGTTTATACCATTCCATACAATATGATCAAACTCGAGATTTCAATGAATAACAACAATTCTTTAATTAATGAGGAGACACGGTTCATGCAAAAAAATAAAGTATATAAACATGCATATATAAGATTATGAAAATGGGAGAAAGAATGAATATAAAAAATGCTTGAGGCATATGCTATTTTGAAATGTGAATATCAAATATGATTCATGAATAAAAACGATTAAAGAAAAAAAGAACCTGATGCTAGAAGAAGCAACAAAAGAAGGAAAGCAGCTGAGACTGATCGTAAGAAACGTTCCATATTTTGGATAATATTTAGGGCAAGCGAACAATCGAGCTAATGCAAACGTACGTGCAGGAGAGAGAGAGAGAGAGAGATACATGGAAACGAAGCACTGCGAGGCCTTTATATAATGAGTTAACGACTAGGGAAGGGCGAACACAACTATGTTTTGTTATTAATGCTTGTATTTTGTAACGACATTTTACCTTTATTATTCAACTTATAAACAATAGGTAATTTTATTCATTTCAGACTTTTCCAAATAAAAATATTTGCTTTTAAAAATAGGAGTTATACTTATCTTCATTGATTAATAAAGCATTTTTATGTTATAAAGTAAAAGGCAAACCATATCACTGACCACTTAACTATTGCTTATTTTCATTTTGACCACTATTTTTAAATTCTTGTCAATTAGGATACTCAACTATTTAAATACATTTAATCAGGCCACTTTCCTGTCAGCAGTTAACGGAACTGTTGATGTGGGAGTTAGTGAAATTGGTATAATTACATGTCACCAGGGAAAAGTGGGTTTAGAATAAAAGCCCTAACCACTAGGCTAAACACATTCACTTGTTCTAAAATGCAGCATTTATTAAACATATCGTAAAATGCAGTACTTACTTTAATAATAATTTTAAAATTTTTAAAATAATTTCATACATATATTTTAACTCAATGTCAGTTTTTTAAAAATAATTCCATATATTTTCAATAAAATATAAATTAAGTTAAAAATATAAAATCATTAATATATTTTTTAAATTATTACTTATATTAAAATTTTTAATTTAATGATTATATATATATATATATTTTTTGTTAAATTTATCAAAAAAATTAATTTTTTTAAAAATAGTTTTGAGTTAAAATATATATGGAATTATTAATAAAAATTTTAAAATTATTACTTAAGTTAAACAATTTAAATTGATGAATATATATATAAATTATTGTTAACTTTATCAAATAGTTTATGTTTTAAATAATTTCATAATTTTTAATAAAAATAAATAAATTGATATATATATATATATATATATATATATATATATGAAATTATTAGTTAAAAAATAAAATTATTACTTAAGTTAAAAATTTAATTTAATGATGTTAACTTTATCAAATAATTTCATATAATTATTTATAAAAATAATTTGAGTTAAAAATATATACGTGATATTATTAAAAAGTATTAAAATTATTACTTCTTTTTTGAACTTTGTTTCTCTTTCTCTGTCATTTTGTTAATGTTTAAGTTAATGCAACTTACATTAAAGAATTCGTTCTAGCATAGTGGCCTGGTTATAACCTGTTTAACGCACGTTCGATTCCCACCCAACCCGCATGCACTTCTCTTGTTAATTTTCCATTCAATCTAATGGTGACACGTGGCACAATTTGTTTGGATGGAAAATAAAATAATTAAATTTAAAACTATTTTCTATTTATGTTGTAACATGTGTCATAATCTGATTAGATGATTAATGTTATTTTAATTTATTAAATTAGAATCATATTGATAGAATATATAAGTAAGAGTAATCAAATATGTAATTACACTAATTTTACTAACTCTCACGACCGCACTTCTGTTAACTGTTAACGGCAAGTGGTTTGATTGAATACATTTAAATAGTTGAGTGGCCTGATTGAAAAAAAAATTCAAAAATGATGGTCAAAATGAAAATAGACTATAGTTGGATGATCACTGGTATAGTTTACCCTACAAAACATTTAATTTTAAAAATATTTAAAAGAAATGAATGATCAAATATGTAATTATATTAATTTTACTAACTGTCACGTCAGCATTTCCGTTAATTGTTAACGACAAGTGATCTAATTGAATGTATTTAAATAGTTAAGTGGCTTGATTGACAAGAATTTAAAAACAGTGATCAAAATGAAAAAAATAAGTGGTCACTAATATAATTTACCTTAAAGTAAACTGATTTATTTGGTTTAGTTATAACGGTTTTTGCGATTATAAGAAAGGGTTTTGAATTTTTGGATTTTAAAAAATTCATTGGGAATGCTATTAAATTATAACATTTGAAGTGATTTTATGACTATTTAAATCAATTATAGCAGCACAAATCAAGTGACATCGATAATAAAAGAATTATTGTTATTCTTTTAGGTCTTAGGTTTGAACACCATAAATGTCAAGAGTGTAAACGTTTAATGTCAAATGATTAAGAGTTATCTTTAAATAGATAATGCTTTGTACTTACCCAGATTAATAAAAAAGTGTATGGTTAACAATAATTAGTATGAAAGGAAAATAATAATTTTTAAAAGTTCGATTTTTTTTGTTACAAAGACCACAACATATTTTTCCCATTAAATTAAGATTAATTGCATATTTTCATATGATATCAGAAGTTAATCGGTAATATAATTAGCCTATTATATGGTGCAAAAATTCTAACGATTATAATTTTTTAAATGAGATTTTTAAAAAATTTATAGCTGACGCTTAAATGAGAAATTAATTGAATATTTTATATTTGATAATTTTAGGTTTATTTTGGAGTTCACACTCCAAACATCAATGAATTTAAGAATAATAAAAAAAATCAATTGAATTTATCGAGTGACTTTAGTGATTAAAGAAAATGTTATTCTTCATTGATGTCTTAAATTCTAGTAGTTGCGTATGCACAGTGCGTGTACATTGTCAATGATTAAGAAAAAATATATACATATACTTCTTTATAATCATACAGACTATTAAAAAGAAAAAAAATCATGATGATAAAAAGACAAATATACAAGGCGCTTTTTCCGAAAAATCATCGGTGATCGGTATATTTACCGATCTAACACCGGTCATATTATATTTCTCGATCTAACACCCGTAGCAGTAAAGCGCGCCCCCTGCCCCGCGTTATATGCTGATTTGGCACCACGTGGGGTATAGAGCGCCCCCTGTACCGCGCTATACACTGACATGGGTTACACGTGTGTATAGCGCCCCCTGATCCGCGCTATACGCCACGTAGGGGTATAGCGCGGATCAGGGGCCACACTATACCTGGTTATCTGACATGTGGGGTATAGCGCGGTACAGGGGATGCGCTATACCTTTAATTACCCACCCGTTCACACCCCAATCCTCCCTATAAATACCCCCATCTTCAATCACTTTCATCACACCAAATTCTCTCAAATTTTCTCAATTTCTCTCAAATACTCTCTCTGTTTAAGGTATATTTTTATAATATTTTTAATATTATGTATTTAATTTATTTAAGTATTTTACTTTATTTAATATTTTACTAATATAATTTTTTTGCAGATATATAATGAAAGACAGTCTACTTCGCTTGGATGGAAATTATATATCTCGACACTTTGCTGATACGGTAACATTTTAATGTTTTAATTTAATTTAACTTATTAGTAATAATTAGTTGATTTATTTAATGCATGATTATTAGATTAAGAATTAATTTTTGTAATTATTTATTTTTAGGAGAAGGATCGTGTATTAGATCCTTTTATTAGGAATCTTAAGTTAGTGATACCTAGTTGTGTCTTGCCGTGTCTTGCCGGAGACCCACACATTCCATCTTTCGTGCGGAGAGTGCACGGTCACGCTTGAGGATGTTTCTATGCACCTGGGGTTTCCGGTGGATGGAGATGTGATATTAGGGATAGCTTCCGGTTCTTGGACTACTTTGTGCCAGGATAATCTAGGACGTGTCCCGGAAAGTTTTATTGGAGGTAGGATACCGTTAAATTGGTTAGATGCCAATTTTCAGGAGTTGAGCGCAGACGCCTCTAAGGATGAGGTTAAGATGTATGCACGGGCATGCATATTGCAGTTGATAGGAGGGTTGCTGATGCCGGACAAATCGCGCAACCTAGTTCACTGTATGTGGTTACGACTTTCGTCTCGCCGGATCATTCAGTTGGGGCTCGGTAGTTTTGGCTTTACTGTATAGGGAGATGTGTGGAGCCATTGACTACAGGCGTAATGTTATCGACAGATGTCTCCTACTGCTGCAGTCTTGGGCATCGTATCGATTGCCCTTTTTATATCCCGTTGTGAAGAACCCATTCGCATTTCCACTACTTCTGAGGTAATTATAAAACTAATTTTGTATATTAATAATTTTATATATCGTATAATAAATTTTTTCCTTGAATAGGTGGTCTACTGATAGGAAAAATCATCAGGAGCTACCTGATGAGTTAGAAAAAATTAGGGTGCTAATCGATCAGAAGGCTGGCACACAAGTATGAATTTTATTGTTTAAAAATCGATTTTAGATTATAGTTATATAATTAGATTATTCTTTTGATAAAAATTATATATTATTTATTTTAGTTTGAATGGGTGTCATATTCTACTGATGATGTGAGGGCGGTGATCCCACCTGAGTTAAGGGGTCCATTAGATGTTTGGATGGCGATGGTCTCTCTGATCTATTATGCGACCGTCGAGTAGCACTCCGCTGATCGCATGCTCCGGCAGTTTGGTTGTTTTCAACCAATTCCGGATACACCGCGCAATATGGACGAGTTGCATAGCTTAGATAGAAGCGGTAAGACAGACACAGATTGGCTGGTGAGGCATCATGAGTGGGTCGTGTTGTGGGAGGATTGACATCGGCTCCTTCCCCGTAGAGACCCCATTTTACTTGACCTCTTGAGTGTTGCTGAAGGTTATTATGAGTGGTTCAACAGTAACGGGAAACCGTTTCTGCTTCCCGAGGATGCACGAGGGCAGACCTTTCCGCGACGTCGACAGAGACGTGATCCGACACAGCACCATCGTCCCCCGACTCGTGGACGGAGAGCAGGTGCTTCCGGTTCATCCTCAGCTGCACCAGCAGGACCTTCACAGCAGCCACCGCAGCCATTTATGATGCCGCAGGCCGCCATCGCCTTTCCATTACCAGATGTTGTCGTCGCCGCCTTCACCTGGTTTTATGACTCCGTCGCCGCCACCGTCACAGATGACTCCTCCTGGAGGCTATTATGGGTCTATGTTTGCAGATTCGACTTGGGGTTCATATGATGGATATTTGGCGGGTTCAGCCTCATCACCCATGG